GCTCGGGTTGAAGAATTTCTTGCACAGAATCACTCGAGAGGCTAAGGGTTGCAGAAAAAGAAGGAGAAGTTAAGTCCTTCCCGCTGTGTCGATCATTCTCACTCGAAGTAGCAGAATCTGAGATAAAAGGGAGAAAAGCTATAATTAGTTGGAGGAATGAACAAATTACAGAAGAGAAGAAGGGAAAGGGCGAAGAAGAACACAGCAGGAAGGACGAACAATGGACAGAGCCATAAATCGACAAGGGGATGAAAAAGAAGAGGAAAGACCAAAAAAATCAAAAACGCACAAACACAAATTGAAAGATAAAGAAGACTTACTCATGGTGAACAGCGGAGGATGTGCAGGAAAGACGGAGAACTCAAGATTGTTGGATGCTCGACAATTGCAGAAAGCTCTCAAGTGCAGGAGTTCAACAATGGGAAAAAAGGAAAAATTTACCTAAGTATAGGTATATATAGAAGCAGAAAGTGAAGGGGAAGAAACGTAAACCGCAGGATTACAAATAATGAAGGGCTGCGATGAGAGAGCAGGTGAACGGGCGCTTATTCCGGACCGTAGGATTAAAGTAAAGGATCCAACGGTAAGAAGAGAAGAGGCGCATAAAGGGGTGCGAGGCTCGAGGCAGCGCACGCTGCAGGGTTTTCACGGTTCCCAAGAAACTTAAAGGGCGCATCTCAAAAGGGCGGATAAATGACGAAAATTCGAAGTTTAAAATATGTGGAGCGACAAACAAGGGAGGAAATAACCACACAGAATAAAGGAAATGGTTTACTTGGTCGAAGGCAAAGAGGCAAAACTTCCTCGACAAAGATCGAAATCTACTCTTAGATCGAGTCACTCGGACTCGACCAGAGTGGAGGGACTAGATGATATGGGATACTATATATTAGACCGGTCCGCAAGGCTAATCAAGGAAGATAAACCAATTCGTCGTATTACCTAAGCAAGAACAGGTTGAACAATATGTTCGATCAAGACCAGAGACCTACTGTGAAGAACGGAGAGAATAGCAGGAACTAAGAAGATTAGAGTTGGTCGACAGGTATGAGTCATTCGA